TGTCTTTATTTGGCTTTGAAATCTGACTCAAGTTCTGGGATATGATAAATTACTGATGATATTGAATAATCCTTCACTGATAAGATATGTTGGAAGTTGTAGTATGCACACCTGTAGTTCTAACAGTTCAGAGGCTGAAACAGGAGGATCTTGAGTTCCAGCATTGCCTGGGCTACAAAAAGAGAGCCTGTCTCAAAAAAACAAAACAGAAAAAAATGTGCATTCTATCAGTTTAATCCCTAAAGGTAATCAACAACAAATCAAACTGAATTAATGAAAAAATATGACTATATTAATAACAAAATAGGGAAATAGTTTGGCATGTCCACAAAACACTAAGTATAAAGTTGAAACATCACCTAGAATGTGTATATTCATCTCCAAGAAGAGTACAGAAGTATATGTTCATACAAATTTCACACAGCATCATTCATACTTGCAGTGACAACTAAGGGCATAAGATTTCTTTTGGGAGCTGGGTGCTGGTGGCTCATACCTATAATCCTACCTACTTGGGATGAGATCTGACAATCAAGGTTCAAAGCCAATACAGGCAGGAAAGTCTGTGAGACTCTTGTCTCCAATTAATTACCAAAGAACTGGAAGTAGAGCTGTGGATCAAGTTAGAGAGTCCCAGCCTTGAGCAAAAATGCTCAGGGACAGCACCCAGGCCCTGAATTCAAGTCTACTGGCACACACACACACACAAAAGAAGTCAAATTGTTATGTGAATTACATGCCAATAATATCTTTTTTTTTTTTGTTGGTCGTGGGGCTTGAACTCTGGGCCTGGGCGCTATCCCTCAGCTCTTCAGCTCAAGGCGAGCACTCTACCACTTGAGCTACAGCGCCACTTCCAGTTTTCTGGTGGTTTACTGGAGATAGGAGTCTCACAGTCTCTCCTGCCCGGGCTGGATTTGAACCGCGATCCTCAGATCTCAGCCTCCTGAGTAGCTAGGATTACAGGCGTGAGCCACCAGCGCCCGGCAATAATATCATTTTTAAAAAGTGATCAACAGCAACAGAATGCCATACTTTATGTTTAATATATAAAATCTTAGCCAGGCAAAAGGTCCACGTGTATGTGTATTCATTAAAACGAACAAAGACAGTTTGAATGTGACAATGGTGACTCTGAGACTGTAGGATTACAGTTGTACTTTCTTCTTTATATTTCTATGTTCTACACATTCTTTATAATAAGCATAGAATTACCTTTATGAGGAAGGAAATAGGTTATATGGGAAAAGTCAAACTACCGCTACAAGCAACAGACACCATCCATGATAAGCTTAGAAATTTACCAAGAAATTTAATATGTGAAATATCAGAATGAATTTAGATATTGAGTAGGAAGATAGAGAAGACAAGGAACACTGTAGGTCCTCACTGTTCATTGGATGTCTAAAGTTACTTACTTTTAACTTAATTATTATTATTTTTGTAGGTCATGGGTCTTGAACTTTGGGCCTGGGCACTGTCCCTGAGCTCTTCAGCTCAAGGCTAGGGCTCTACCCCTTGAGCAACAGTGCCACTTCTGGCTTTTGGGTGGTTAATTGGAGATAAAAGTCTTATCGACTTTCCTGCCTGGGCTGGCTTTGAGCCACGATCCTCAGATCTCAGCCTTCTGAGGAGCAAAGATTACAGGCATGAGCCACTGGAACCCAGCAAGTCTTTTAATTTTAATTAGTTAATTGATTAATTAGTTGGTTGATTTGTGTGTGTGGGGGGGGTTTGTGTGTTGATACTGAGGCTTGCACCCTCTCTTAGCTTTTTCTTTTTGGTCAAGACTGGCATTCTACCAATTGAGCCACAGCTCTATTTCTGGCTGTTTGTTGGTAAGTTTAAGATAAGAGTCTGGCTTTGAACCAGGATTCTCAGATCTCAGCCTCCTGAGTAGCTAAGATTATAGATTACAGGTGTGAGCCACTGGCTCTGGGCTGGCTGGTTGGTTTTGAAATAAGGACTTACTATGTAGCTCAGGCCGGTTGGTCTCAAACTTGCAATGCTCTTGCTTCTGCCTCCAAGTGCTTGGGATTACAGACCTAGACCACCATACTCAGAATGGCTTTTTATTGTTATTTTTATTTTTTACAGTGCTAGGAATAAAAGTCAGGGCCTCACATACGTGAGTTAATACTATACCATTAAGGTATACTTTCATTTACTGAAACAAACTAGTTAGAAACACCTAGGTTTCTAGAAAGAATGGAGCCCATAAGCAAAGCCAGAGGTATTTTTAAATGTGTTGTCCAGTTTTGGAAAAGCTAGTTCAATGGTCTGAAGTCTGAAGGGTGGAAGTATGTTTAGTGAAAGGTACTGCATGGGTTCTCATGAGCCATGACCAGTCCTACAAGCTTGCTGGACATAAGCCCAGCCATTAATCAGTTGATTCTGAGCAATTCACAAACTCCTGTGGGCATTTCTTTTTTTAAATACTGGCACTGGGCCTTGACCTCAGGACCTTGGCATTGTCTCTTAGCCTTTTCCCTCAAGGCTGGTGCTCTACCACTTGAGCCATACTTCCACTTCCAACTTTTTCTGGTTAGTTGGAGAGCAGAATCTCTCATATTTATCTGCCAGGGATGGCTTTGAACCATGATCCTGAGATTGCAGCCTCCTAAGTAGCTAGGATTACAGGCCTGAGACACTGGGTCTGGCTCCTGTCAGCCTCTTTATCCTCATTCGTAAGTGAGATCTGGCCCCAGCACTATCACGCTGTTTGAGTGGTCTCAGATAGGTTGAAACCACTCTAGACTAAAGCCCAAGCCAGCTGCTCTGTCCCTGGAATAGCCACTAACCTCTTGTGCACATTGTTTCTCCATCCCTGGGTTTCAGGTGTCTTCCCTCAGGAGGTGTTGCAAGGACTGACTAATAACACTAGTTTCTCAACAACCACAGTGCCAGGCACAGGTGCAGGGAGTTCCACATCCACAACAGATTATCCACGTAATCATCACCCAACCTGAAAGCCACCTTGGTGTCCTGGGTCAATGCTTCCTGTTTTGCTGATAATGTGGTCACAGCTGAAGTCTCAGATCTTGTCAGACACTTCCTCAAGGATGGGAAAGATGTATAAGAATAGGTCCAAGCCGGGCGCTGGTGGCTCACGCTTGTAATCCTAGCTACTCAGGAGGCTGAGATCTGAGGATTGCGGTTCAAAGCCAGCCCGGGCAGGAGAGACCGTGAGACTCCTATCTCCAATAAACCACCAGAAAACCGGAAGTGGCGCTGTAGCTCAAGTGGTAGAGCGCTCGCCTTGAGCTGAAGAGCTGAGGGACAGTGCCCAGGCCCAGAGTTCAAGCCCCATGGCCGACAAAAAAAAAAAAAGAATAGGTCCAGCAAGGCCCAATGGTTCATGCCTGTAATCCTAGCTACGCAAGAGCCTCAGATCTGAGGATGGCAGTTCTAGGCCAGCCGAGGCAGGGAAGTCCATGGAGATTACTCTAAAGCTTCTTCTTGTAACTCACAGAAAATAAAATTTCAGTGTTTTTGTTTCTTTTTGTCTTATTTATTATTATTATATTATGATTGATGCTTGGCTTCTGCTCTTGGTGGAGGTGTTACCACTTAAGCCACACCTTCAGTCCAGCTTTTTTGCTGGTTAATTGGGGATAGAGACTCTTGAACTTTTCTGCTAGGGCTGACTTCCAACAGGAGACCCTCAGATCTCAACTCTCCTGAGTAGCGAGGATTAAAGGCATGAGCCATAGTCAGCCGTGCCTTCCTCAGCCTAATAAATTTGGTTAATTTAAAAAATACTAGGGGCTGGGAAGGTGGCTCAGTGGTAGAGTGCTTGCCTTGCATGCCTGAGGCCCTGGGTTCAATTCCTCAGCACCACATAAGCAAAAAGAAAAAAGCCGGAAGTGGTGCTGTGGCTCAAGTGATAGAGTGCTAGCCTTGAGCTGAAGAGCTGAGGGACAGCGCCCAGGCCCCACGACCGGACCCAAAATAAATAAATAAAAATTAAAAAAAATAAAAAATACTAGTTTTGTCTTGCTGACATTCACACGTTACTTTCTGAGGTTTCCTCTTCCTGATCGATGTCAAACAATGCAGGAACTCACACCGTAATCCTAGGGTTTATTTACTTCCATTTAGTTATTTATTTTTGCAGTGCTGGGGAATGGAACCCAAAGATGAATTTAAGGCCGTGCTGGTTTGGCTTCACCAGCCACAATGAAATCCCCTCCTTTTTTCCTTCTTTTCTCTTCTTTTCTTTTCCTCTCTTTTCTTTTCGTGGTGTTGGGGATAGAGCTTAGGATTTTGCATTTGCTATGCAAGAACTCTAACACCATACATTACGCTTCTTCACATACCAGCGATCTGGAAGGTGGGTGGGTGAGGAGGCCCCCATACACCAGCGGTGGCAGGGGCGAGGCGGGGTCCCCCCGCAGCAGCGGTGGCAGGGGCGAGGCGGGGTTCCCCCCCCGCAGCAGCGGTGGCAGGGGCGAGGCGGGGACCCCCGCAGCAGCGGTGGCAGGGGCGAGGCGGGGACCCCCGCAGCAGCGGTGGCAGGGGCGAGGCGGGGTCCGGGGCAGCCGGGCAGCCGGGCGCCTCCGCCCACGGGACGGACCGGAGCGGCTCCTCTCTCCGCGTGAGTCCCCGGCACCTGCGCACCTGTTGCGCGGCGTTCCCGGCTCGGCCCGGCCCGGAGCCCCAGCCTCGGAAACACCCCGGCACCCCGGAGGGAGCAGGTGACGGGGGGGGGGGGCACCGAGGGGCGGGGGGCTGCGGACGCAGGCCCGGGGGTGCCGAGCCCCAATCCTTCCCCGCGCCAGCCGCGCTCAGTCGCCTCGGCTCGCCGTGAGCTCGGCTCAACCGCGGGGCGGCCCCCCCGAGCACGTGCGGGGACCCCCGCGCCCCGGGGCGGCGGGCGGCCGGTATGCAAATATCCGGGGGGTCCGCCTCCCGCAACCCCAACCCGCGTTACTGAAGACGGGGCGGGGCGCGGGCCGAAGCCGCCGCCTCCCGGAGCCGCAGCCGGCCGGCCGTGCGCTCGGGCCGGTGCCGCCGCCCGCGTCCCCGCCGATCGCCCGCAGCCCCGACGGCGACCCCGGTGAGGACGCGCGCCGGCCGGGGTGGGGACAGGCTCGGAGGCCTTGGCCAGGGGGCGCAGCCCGGCGACCCGTCCGGGGCCCCGCGCGCGCCCGCGCAGCCCGGCCCGCAAGTCCCCCGCGCGTGGGAAGCCGGGGGGGGGGGGTGGCTGGTGGCGTCCCGGAGCAGCGGGGGGTGGGTGGCGGCTGGACCCCCGGCCATCGGCGGAGCTCGGGCAGTGCGGGCTGGGGATCTCAGCGTGGACTGGGGCCGGGAGGCAGAGAGAGGGAAAAGTTAAAAGTTACCCGGGGTGGAGGTGGGGGGGTCTCTTGCTGTTCTGAGGTTATTGACCTGTCCTCCCTCCCCCAGACGTGGGGAGCACTGGGGGGGGGGGTCAGCGGACCCGGGGAAGAGCGTGGGGAAGGCGGGTGTACCCTCCCCTGAAGGAGCAGAACAGACCCACGTTTCCAGGCCCGGCATGGCACCGAAACTGCGGCCAGCCCTAGAATCACCCAGCCAGAGACGCGGTTCCTCCCCCAGGGCAGATTTCCTGGCCTGCTCCCCTCCCTACTTTCTGGTCATTTTTAGGTTTTTTGTTTTAAAGAAGAGATCTTCTAAGATCTATTGGTGAGGGGGGAGGGGGGGAGGAAGCGCATCAGTACTGGGACTTGAACTCAGGGCCTGGGGGCTGACTCTTAGCTTTTTTCACTCAAGATTAGTCCTGTTACTTGAGCCACACCCCCCTTGCAGCTTTTTGGTAGATAATTGGAGATAACAGTCTCATGGACTTTTTTTTTGGTCGGTCGTGGGGCTTGAACTCTGGGCCTGGGCGCTGTCCCTCAGCTCTTCAGCTCAAGGCGAGCACTCTACTACTTGAGCCACAGCACCACTTCGGTTTTCTAGTGGTTTTTTGGAGATAAGAGTCTCACAGATTTTCCTGCCCTGGCTGGCTTTGAACCACGATCCTCAGATCTCAGTCTCCTGAGTAGCTAGGATTACAGGTGTGAGCCACCGGTGCCTGGCTAATGCAAGTCCACATTTTATGGTGATCCACAAAAAGTGTGGGATTCGTACAAGGTGAATGTAAAGAAGCAGCACCTCCTCCAAGCAGAGCCACCCCAAGGGCTGGAGGGTCCCTCCCCCCCACCACCAGGGGGCTCCTCCCAAGGAGATCAGCAGATGATAATGATATTTGGAGTGCTGGAATCTGAAGGAAACTGGAAAGTCAGAGACCCGGAATGAGAAACAGGAAAAGTGACAGATCCTGGAGCGGATTAGTTGTGAAGGCCAGAAACCATCTGACACATCTCTCCTCCCGTTTCTGTTTGTGTACAGTTTGCCTTGGTGGTGGCCTGGTGAGTGGGTACCAGAAAGACGGGAAACATGTCCGAGTTCTGGTTAATTTCAGCCCCAGGTGATAAGGAAAATTTACAAGCTTTGGAGAGGATGAATACTGTCACTTCCAAATCCAACCTGTCCTACAACACAAAGTTTGCTATTCCTGACTTCAAGGTAAGATTCCTGGAGAAGAGGACAGAAATGTAGGCTGTTTGGGGGGAGGGGTTGAGGGAGGACAGAGATTGCTGCCCCAGGAAATGGCCTCTGGGAAATTGGAGAAAACAATAATAGTGCAAAGGCCGGAATGCTAAGCACCAGCCTGAGCCGGAAGATGGACACAGAGGTGATGGGCTGTCACTACAATGGGATGTCACCATTTAGTTCCTATTGCGGCACATAGGCACTTAAAGCCACAGGAAAGGAGTGGACTGCAGGCCAAAACAGCGGAAGGCACTATGCAAATTTAGGCCTTTGTGTTCTAGCCGCTCAGTCTGCAACATCTTAGATGACCAATCACATACTATTTGTTGGTTGGTTGGTTGGTTTATACTGATACCGGGGCTTGAACTCACTGCCTGGACACTGTCCCTTAGCTTTTTTGCTTAAGGTTAGTACTCTATCACTTGAACCACAGCTCCACATTGGGTGGCTTTGATGGTTAATTGGAGATAAGAGTCTCAATGACTTTCCTGCCCTGGCTGGCTTTGAACTAGAATCCTCAGATCTCAGCCTGCAGAGTACCTAGGATTATAGGCATGGGCCACTGGTGCCCAGCTAGCCTTGTACTTTTGATGTGCAAGCGTGGAGGCCATTAACCTTGATTGTCCTCTGGACCTGGGGCCGGCAAGGACTTTGAGGATTGTCCCAATGTTGTTGGAGAGGCGTGGGGATGTAGGTCCACGTGGTAGAGTGGCAGAATGTTTGGGAAGCACAGGAGCTGCTTAGGATTCCTGTAGTGGATGGAAAAACTAAGATGAAGTAACAGTGAAGAGCAAGTTATGTATACTTTTCTTAAAAAGGCACTAGTCATTCATGCCTGTAATCCTGCCTATGCAGGAGGCTGAGATCTGAGGATTGAAGTTTGAAGTCATACTGGGCATGAAGGCTGTGAAACTCTTTATCTCCAATTAACCACCAAAAGGCTGGAAGTGGAGCTGTGGCTCAAGTGGTAGAACACTAGCCTTGAGCAATAAAGCTCAGGAAAAACATGTAGGCCTTGAGTTCAAACCCCAGTATTGGCATACATAGAGAGAGAGAGGAGGGGAGGGGAGGAAGAAAGAAAGAAAAAGAGAAAAGAGAGAGATAAAGGAAAGAGAAAGCAGGAAGAAAAGAAGAAGGGACAGAAAGGATGAAAGAAGGAATGTTTCTAGATCATACCAGAATAACACTGTGGGGTGCTGGCCAGGTGGCCCCAGCTACCCAGAGTCTACTCTTCTGGAGAATTGTTATAAGATCCTTTTTTTTTTTTGGCCAGTCCTGGGGCTTAAACTCAGGGCCTGGGCACTGTTCCTGAGTTTCTTTTGCTCAAGGCTAGCTCTACTACTTGAGCCACAGTGCCACTTCTGGCTTTTTCTGTGTGTGTGGTACTCAGGCATTGAACCCTGGGCTTCATGCATGCGAGGCAAGCACTCTACCACTGAGCCACCTTCCCAGCCCTTAAGATCCTCTTTCAAGCCTCAGTTTGCCCTCTGCCCCCAAACTGCAGTTGGCCCTGTAGTTGTTGGTGACATTTATCCCTGTGTGAGCTCTGAAATACATGGTCTGAAGTCTTCTCGACTCCCTCTGGCTGGGTCTGGTGCGGCTGGGGCTGTGTGGTCACGAGGCCTGCAGGGCTGGCAAGGGGCAGCAGCAGGCTCCAAACTCGTGTCTTGCCACCTTTGAAGCCTGTCACTGTTTGTGCAGAGGCAGACACTGTGAGGTTCGCCAGGCCAGCCTCCACGCGTAACCTGTGAGCCAGGCGGCACGGCTCCGCACGCCAGAGGGCACAGAGGTCAGAGGAGACACCACAGCACCAAAAGCTTCACACTGATTGCTTTTTTTAGGGCAGGGTAGGGATTTTTCTTACATGCTAAGCACAAGCTCTACCACTGATCTATACTCCCATTTCCCACTTTTTTGTGTGTGTGTGTGGGGGTGTAATACTGGAGTTTGAACTCAGGGCCTTGTGTTTGCTAGGCAGGCATGAGGCTACTATGTAACCCATGCCCCCTTCCTTCCTTCCTTCTTCCTTCCTTCCTTCCTTCCTGGGCACTGTCCCTGAGCTCTTCAGCTCAAGGGTAGCAGTCTACCACTTGAGCCACAGTGCCACTTCCGGTTTTCTGGTGATTAATTGGAGATAAGAGCCTCGAGGACTCTCCTGCCCAGGCTGGCTTTGAACCATGATCCTCAGATCTCAGCCTCCTGAGTAGCTAGGATTACAGGTACCCGGCTTACTTCATTTTTAATGTCCAGTTGCTGGTGCCACATGATGGCAAATTTTTTCTTTCTGCTTCTCCTGTGCAAAGACCTTTCAGTATAATTTTGGACATTACAATCACTCTTGCACAAAGAAACAGACCATAAATAATCCCCAAAGGCAAAGGCTCTCTACTCATGAAGGAGGAAGAGAGCTACAAGGTCAGTGTCAATAGCCAAAGAGAACAGAGGGAGGGATGGCTGGACAGTCTTGGAGAAGTAAGGCTTTTAGAAATTATAACTTGTTAAACTTGCTTTCTGGTATATCCCTTTGGCTATAGGAAAATGAGCGGAGGTCAGACCATGACATAGTAGTCCTTCCTGTGGAAGAGATGTGATTGTTTATCCAGATGGCTCTACCTCCCCAAATAAGTAAGACATAAGATAAAAAGTCCATGCTGGGAGCTAATGGTTTACACCTGCAACCATAGCTAATCAGGAGGTTGAGATCTAAGGATCACAGTTCAAACTAGCCTGAACAGGAAAGTCCTTGAGACTCTCCAATGGACTACCAAAAAAGCTGGGGTGGGAGCTGGTGGCTCACACCTGTAATCCTAACTACTCAGGAGGCTGAGATCTGAGGATCATGGTTCAAAGCCAGCCTGGGCAGCAAAGTCCATGAGACTCTTATCTCTATTAAACCACTCAGAAAACTGGAAGTGGTGCTGTGGCTCAAGGGGTAGAGCACTAGCCTGGAGCTGAAGAGCTCAGGGATAGTGCCCAGGCCCAGAGTTCAAGCCACTCCCCCCCCCTGCCCCCCACTAACAAAAACAAAAACTGGAAGTGGAGCTGTGTCTCTAGTGGTAGAGTACTAGTCTTGAGCAAAAGAAGCTCAGGAACAGTGCCTAGGTTCTGAGTTCAAGCTCCAGGAACAAGAGAAAGAAAAGCCCAAAAAACTCCTCAAGAGTTTTTTCTAGTTTGGTTATTGGCCAAGGATGGCCAAATCAACCAACCCAACCCTGACTGTCATTGAAATGACATCACCTCTCCTGGGCAGGACACAGACAGGCTCACCTCTAACTTCTGTGCCATCTTTCCAGGTGGGGACCTTGGATTCCCTTATTGGTCTCTCGGATGAGTTGGGGAAACTTGATACCTTCACTGAAAGGTAAACTATTTTTTTTTATTTACTCCATACAACTGCGAATTTGGAGATGTTGTCAGGGAACACAGTGTTCTTGCTTTGGCTTTAAACAAAATATAGACTTGTCTAACCTGGTCCCAGAAGCCTACAGGAAGACAAGGGCTTTCCTGGGAGCAGGAGGCCAATGAGAGTGTGACGGGCACTCCATTTTGTTTGCTGAAGGCACCATTTTTAAGGCGCTGCCTTCAAAAGGATGGTCATGTATAGATGCTACATGTAAAAAGGTAATTGAGGGGCTGGGAATGTGGCTTAGTGGCAGAGTGCTTGCCTAGCATGCATGATGCCCTGGGTTCAATTCCTCAGTACCATATAAACAGAAAAAGCCAGAAGTGGCGCTGTGGCTCACATGGTAGAGTACTAGCCTTGGGCAAGAAGAAGCTCAGGGATGGTCCCTAGACCCTGAGTTCAATCCCCAGGACTGACAAGCAAGCAAGCAAGCAAGCAAGCAAGCAAGCAAGAGGCTGGTGGACATGCCTGTAATCCTAGATACTGTAGAGGCTGAAATCTGAGGATCAAAGTTCAAAGCCAGCCTGAGCAGGAAGGTCCCCTTGAGATTCTTATCTCCAAATAACTACCAGGCTCAAGTGGTAGAGCACTTGTCTGAAGCTGAAGAGCTCAAGGACAGTACCTAGGCACTGTTCAAGCCCCATGACTGACCAAAAAGAAAAAAAGAGAAAGAAAGAAAAAGAAAAGTAATTGATATGGTTCCTTTCAAGGCTTTAGGTTTGGGTTTTTTGTTTATTTGTTTTTGCAATGTACTCATATAGGAAAGAATTCAAAGTACACAAGGAAGGATGTAGAGTGAAATTTAAGTTTTCCTCTCATCTGTTTTCTGCTTTCATGTCTCCTCATTCTCTGGTTTCCTCTCTTTTGAGCCAATATGACTGTAACTTTCTTGGCCAGCCTTCCAGAAAACTGAATAAATATGTGAGTATATATGTAGCCGTGTCAGGTGTGGTGGTGCATGCCTGTAGTCTTGGCACTCAGGAGGCTGAATAGATGTACTCTTATTTATTTGATGTCTCTGTTGTTGGATGTTTAAGTTGTCAAGTCTTCTGCTTTTGCAAATGGTGTTCCACTAAAAGTGGAACAATTGTAAGTGGAAATTCTTGGTCAGAGTCTGTGGGTACAATTTCACAGATACCAACAAGAAAAAAGAAAAAGAAAAAAGGGCTTGGGGGTCTTGCTATAATGTGAGGACACAGTGTAGACTTTTGCCTTCAGGAATGAATGAAGCAGAGCAAAAGAATAAGTCCCATTCCAGCCCCAGGGTGGATCCTGGGAAAGTTGCCATCCAGAGCGAAGTGGCTGGTGCCCAGGTGTTGACTTGCTGCTGAGGCTGCTGGCACCCTAGGAAGGTCCCACAGGCCTCGTGTAACTCAGGTCTAGCTGAGAAGACAGATATTGAGCAGAGAGTGAAATCAGGTGATCTGAAGCCTGATCAAAGAGACTGACGGATGCTGACATGACCCAGGCTCACGGGGCAGCCCAACCTTAGGCTGCTGATCACCTTCACCTTGAAGCATTTTTTTCTCATCTTCTTGGGAACCCTGACAACCCACGGCATGAGGCTGCTCAGCCAGGTGCAGAAATATTGGTGTGAGAAATGTGAACTAGGGGCTGGGCAGGTGGCTCAGTGGTAGAGTGCTTGCCTTTTATGCCTGAGGCCCTGGGTTCGATTCCTCAGCACCACATAAGCAAAAAGAAAAAAGCCAGAAGTGGCGCTGTGGCTCAAGTGGTAGAGCGCTAGCCTTGAGCTGAAGAGCTGAGGGACAGCGCCCAGGCCCAGAGTTCAGGCCCCATGACCGGACCCCCCAAAAAAATTTAAAAGAAATGTGAACTATTCCCCTGCCAGCTGCAAGTGTCAGCCGTGAGCTGGACGCCTGTAATCCTGGCTACACAGGAGTCTGAGATCTGAGGATTGAGATTCGACACCATCCTGGGAAGACTCTTACCTCCAGTTAACCAGCAAAAGGCCAGAAGTGGAGCTGTGGCTCAAGTGGTAGAGTGGTAGCCTTGGGTGGCATGAGGCCCTGAGTTCTAGCACTAGTACCAACACACACACACACACACACACACACACACACAATGATAGCTATGTCCTATTTTCTTCTCGAGACCTTTCTGGGCTTCCAGTTGGCTTTGTAGTCACCAAAGCTCCCTCCGGCTCTGAAACCCGATAGTAGATTATTATTGCTTCTAATTTAATTTATTTTTCTTTACTTGCTTTTTATGTCCAGTAGACACTAGTGTTTTCTTCTGTACTTGTTTGTCTTACAAGTTGCCTCTGAATGTGTGTAGCATATGCTTAAGAAACACATGAATAAGTACATGTAAGCAGAGTGAGGGGCTGTAAATGTGAGACAGAACCTATACAGACTAAAGTGTTTGTTAAAAAAAAAACAAACCAACTGGGTGTGTCAAGAATGGAAATCACTGTTCATTGTTTTACTTTTCCTTGTACGTGCAAATTCCCAAGAGATGGGTCCTACCTGGGAAGAAGAAAACCCAGTGTGGTTTAAGTATCCCCAAATTCTTATTCCTGGCTTTGAGCCAGTCGGGGCAATGTCTTTGTCTTAAGACATAATAGTGAAACTTGGGGTGGGGGATGGGGGTGGAGTAAAGGAATTGCACATAACCCATGCATTTGCCTTCGTTTCTTTGAATGAACCTCCGATTCTTTGAAAGGTACTCCAGTGTTATTGGAGAAATAAATGCTACCTGGGTCTGTAACCTAGCAGCTTAAGCTTGTCCGGACTGCCTCTGCCCGGGCGAGCAAAGAAGGGACCGGAGTTCTCAAGGTGTATGGTTTCCACATGCTTTTTATTATTTATTTACTCAGGCATGAGACTGTTTTTCCGTGGAACTGAAAGGCAGCTTCTGCTTTTGTGACCTTTCCTTTTTAAAAAAAAAAAAAAGTTATTCTTTTTTCCTGCCTGTACTAATTTCTGTGTGTATACACTGTAATCATGAACATTGGAGAGAGCCAATGATTTGTGTGTGTGTGTGTGTGTGTGTGTGTGTGTGTGTGTGTGTGTGTGTGTATTTTTTTTCCGGCTGTGGGGCCTGAACTCTGGGCCTGGGCGCTGTCCCTCAGCTCTTCAGCTCAAGGTTAGTGCTCTACCACTTGAGCCACAGCACCACTTCTGGCTTTTTTCTTTTTTGCTTATGTGGTGCTGAGGAATCGAACACAGGCCTCATGCATGCAAGGCAAGTGCTCTACCACTAAGCCACCTTCCCAGCCTGATTTTTGTATTTTTTTTTTCAAGCAGGAGATTTTTGTATATTTTTAAAAAGCCCTAGTCTCCATTTTATTTTATTTGTATGGTAGTAGGGCTTGAACTCAGGGCTTGGGCAATGCTTTCCCTTAGCTTTCATGCTGAAGCCTTATGCTCTTACCACTTAAGCCACAGTTCTACTAATGGCTTTTTGCTGGTTAATTGTTGCTAAGAGTCTCAGGGACTTTCCTGCCCAGGCTGGCTTTGATCTCAGCTTTTGAGTCACGAGGATTACAGTGATATCAGTGTGGATCTCGGTCCCTCCTCCTGGTCTATGGTGCTGGGTGAAGCAATCCCTGTCTGGTCTGTCACTCATAGCCGGCCCCGTGGGAATGTCCAGGATATGGGGTGGCTGGCGGCCCTTCTTTCCCACTCAGTCCCCTGGGGGAGGAGGTGGTAGGAGAACGCAGTGCGGCCTGTGGGTACCAGCTCAGCCTGTGAATCCTCTGAAGACTGTACAGGAGCAGACACGGATGCTGGAAGCATCTAGGCTTCTCTTCCCGGATACTGTCTGCTGACGTTTCACCAGCTTTGGGGAGCCCATTTGTGCTGCATGCTTCCTGGGTTCTACAAAGCTGCCCCATGGCCTTTGCTGTTGGCATGGTGCATCCCTTCTCCCTCCCCCAACATCTGTCCATCTGTCCTCCCCCCCCCCCCCCCATGTGCATCTTCTGATCACTCCCAGCACAACTCAGGCTCCACAGCACTCACCATGGTGATTTTCTTGCGGGTGAGTGCCCTGTGAGATCAGAAGCACTCCACGGCCAGACTCAGCACCCAGCACCTCCTAGGATGACAGAAGGAATGGAAGGAGGGATTCTGAATTCTGAGCAGGACAGGCCCTTAGAGAGCTATTCAAGCTGTGGCCTCTACAGCTGACTTCTGCTCTGTCTGTGAGAGTCTTCTTGGAGTCCACCTATGCGTGGATGAGTCCTCCCTCCTTTCCTCACCCGCCTCACCGGGCTCGTGGTGACTGCTGCTCCCTGCCCATGAGGTACAGCCTGTGGCGTGGGACTTGCCCGAATCTGAAATACATACCAGATTTTGAAGACTTACTTAGTACAAGAAAAATAATTGAGCCAGGTGCCAGTGGCTCAAGCCTGTCATCCTAGCTACTCAGGAGGCTGAGATCTGAGGATCAAGGTTCAAAGCCAGCCCAGGCAGGAAAGTCCGTGAGACTCTTATCTCCAAGAAACCACTAGAAAATCAGAATGATGCTATGGCTCAAGTGATAGAGTGCTTGCCTTGAGCTGAAGAGCTGAGGGGCAGCACCTAAGCCCAGAGTTCAAGCCCCATGACTGACAAAAAAAAAAAAAGAAAGAAAATTGAAAATACCTCATTGGTGTCTTACACCTGTAACCCTAGTACTCAGAAGGTTTGAGATACAGAGGATCACAGTTCAAAGGCAGCTTGGGGAAGAAAAGTCCATGAGAGACTATCTCCAAAATAACCAGCAAAAAACAGGGCTGGAGGTGTGGTTCAAGTGGTACAGTACTGCTGTCTGAGTAAGTAAGCTGAATGACCCAAACAGCTAAAATCTTTTTTTTTTTTTTTTTGCTGGTACTACTGGGGCTTGAACTCAGGGTCTGGGCACCATCTCTGAGCTTTTTTTGTGTTCAAGGCTAGCACTCTGCCGTTGGAGCCACAGCTCTACTTCCAGCTCTTGGTGGTTCATTGGAGAATCTC